AGGAGGGCCGGGACCCGCCCCCTCGCGCCTCTCTCCCTCCCTCCCCCCCCAGCTCGCCGGCCTCCAGTCAGGGTCCAAAGGCGAGGCGGAAAGGACCCGCCAACCCGGGGCTTCCCCGCCCGTCATGGGAGTCCCAGCCCCGGGATCCCACCCTGGGCCTCCGCTCCACGACCCACTCCCGGATTCCTGCTGCCGAGGTGCCCTTGTCCACAGCTGACCCCTACTCCCCTTCCTGGCGCACCCTGCCCAGCGGGTCCCTTAGGCTGCAGCTGCCCAGCACGACCCCGCCCCTGGGAGGGATCGACCCCGCCTCAGCTCTGCGGAGTCCGAGAAGAGGGCAGGCTCGGACCCGGTCCTCACCCTGGTAGCTGGAGGGCTCCCGGTTCTGACCTTCACCGCTTTCGCGGTCGCCTCCCTGGCCCCCACCTCTGTTCCCCGTTACCGCCTGACGAGGCCTGCGTCAGGGCCGGCCTGGGCAGGAGCGCGGCTGCAAGTGCCGTTTCCTCTCCAAGCTCTGTCAGCCGCTCGCGCCACGGGCAGTGGGGGAGGGAAGGCGGAGACGTGGGGAGGGTGGGGCAGAGAGGGGCCGAGTGCTCCGGGCGGGGTCCCGCCTCTTCTCGCGAGACTCTCGCGTCCCGGCTCCAGAAGTCTGCGCCGAGAGGTGCGGGGGGCTACTGCCCCGGCCTTCCGGTCCCTGTCACCCGCGTTCTCCCGAGTTTAGGTCCTCAAACCCGAAGTAGGGCTGATAGGAGGGCTAAGTGGGTTTAAACCTCAGTCCTCCTCCACACGGGGCTGAGAACAGCTCTCCAGAGGGAAGCTAGCCGAGACGAGCTAACTCAGGGTCCTGGCCCGGGGAGGGCTTGGGTAAGAGAAGTAGTGAGGAGCTAAGGCTCCCAAGGTCAGTGAAGGAAAGGAGCAAACTCTGGCCTTGGTTCCCAGGCACTTGACGCCACTTAGTTCCCACCACGGGATAGATTGAGGAAGAAAGGACTCTGCCTCCCCAGCTGATTCAGCGGGAGCCAGCTGCAGATCTGCCTGTAAGCTGAGACTGCCAGATCCCGCCGAGAAGTGCTGACAGGTTTTTGGTTTTGTTGCGCTGGAGGCAGATAGAACTCTGGATGGTGGCTTATGTATGTGTCCTGGCCAAAGGAGCTTGAGTTTAGACTGAGTTAATATTAACTTAGGGACTGCTTTGGGCAACGTACTGGTGGTGGCCAAAGGCCATTCCCTCTGACCGGCTCTCAGAAGCAGAGCTACTGTAAAGACAGTTCCTGTACACCTTCCATTCCGTGCACTCAGATCCTACCCTGAAGACTTTAAAGACCAGTTGTAAGGCCAAAACAGTTGTTGGGATATATTTTGCCTGTGAAGGTCTTGATGAACTTAAGGCTAAATACATTTACTGCTCTTATAACTGATTAATCCTAAGGACAGCTCTGTATTTCCTGGTAGAATAGGCTAGAGTTTTGTTACGGATCTTTAAAAAGTATTTTGGTCATCATATGAAGTCTTAGAAATTCACAACAAAAACTCCATAGCATCCTTAGCCATGCTGATTTATGACATTGTGTGGTCACTGTTAGGGTAAGTGACATAATAAGCTGGAAGAACCTAGTCCCAAAGTGTGACTAGTGTTTATCTTTTCTTCATGTTAAAAAGGCATGCCGGGGATTTAGCTCAGTGGTTTCCCTGCCTGCTGCGCAAGCCCAAGGACCCGAGTTCGATCCCCTGTACAAAAAAAAAAAGGCAGAACCATATGATATTAGCTTAAATCCCACAGGCATATAGGATGTACATGCAGTTTTTGACAGGTTACAAGACACAGTCAAAATGTGGACATTTTAAAAATATCTTGCATTATAAAACACTCTAAGAATACTGTGGCTTTTTAGGGTCTAGAAGTGCTCCTGTAGGTACACATCAGTGTACCTACTTTAAGTCTTTAAAACTTCGTTTGGTATATGCTTGGTAAAGAAAGAATATTGAGAGTAACAAACGTAATTCATATTATTTTAGTTACTCATTACTGAACACACTGACTACTAGCAAAGAAAATGGTATTTGATTAAAATACCTTCTGTAGTTTTTATTTTTTGGTACCAGGGATTGAACTCGGGTCCTTGAGCTTGCGAGGCAGGTGGCAGAACCACTGAGCTAAATCCCCAACTCCCTTCTGTAGTTTTTATAACTTTGTTGTTTAAGGTAGAAATCAATGATAGAATGTTATTTAAATATAGTTGTATCTGAGAAACTGTAAATTGGGTTTTTTTCATGAGCTGACAGTGGGAGGGTCTATGTTAAAAATAGAAATATTTTCCTCACTTAGATATTTTATAAGGAAAAATAATATCCACAAATTAAAAGGTAGCCTCCTAATCCAGCATGGTGGCAGATGCCTGTAATCTCAGCATTCTGGGAAGCTGAGACAGGAGGATTGCAAGTTCGAGCCTAGCCTGGGCAACTTAGCAAAAACCTGTAAACCTGTAACTCCATTTAATGTAAAAACTCTTTAAAATTTTTTTTCTTTTTAAAGGCTGAGGATGTAGGTCAGTGTAAAGACCCTGAATTCATTCCCCAGCCTGGGCTACATATCAAGACCTTGTCTCAAAAACAAATAAATTTTGGGGCTAGAGGGTATAGCTTAATGGTAGAGAATTTTCTAGCGTGCACAAGTCCCTGGGTTCAATCCCCAGAACTACAAACAACAAATTTTAATTTTTTTTTTTTTTTGTACCAGGGATCGAACTCGGGTCCTTGAGCTTGCAAAGCAGGTGGCAGAACCACTGAGCTAAATCCCCGGCCCAAACAACAAATTTTAAATTAATTTGGAGGTAACTGACAAATGTACAATATAATATGGGAAGAGCCTCCTCCTGCTCTATACATATTGCTCATCAAATATCAAATTAAACATTCTATTTCTACAGTCAGATTTCTACTTGAAAATAGAACTAAAGTCAAATTTTATTTTTTGCCCACTTCAATGATAAACACTAAAATTTAGAACTAGAAACTGAAGTTTTGTGGGATTTTAAAAATTTATATTTAAATACTGAGGATGAAACTCAGGGCCCTGGCACTGAGCTACATCCCCAGCCATTTTTATTTTTTGAGGTTCTTGCTAAATTGCTAAACTGCCCAGGCTGGGCAAAACTTTCCCAGTGCTGGGGATCAAACACAGTGACCAGTACATGTTAGGCAAGTGCTCTACCACAAGAGCTACATTCCCAGTCCCCTTTTTAAAATTTTGAGACAAGGTCTCACTAAATTGCCCAGGCTGGCCTTGAACGTGTGATCCTCCTGCTTCAGCCTCCTGAGTAGCTGGGATTATACATGTATGCCACCATTTGAACAGCAGGTTCAAATCACCTTAGAGTTCGAGTGACTCCAGTTCTCAGTAGGATGTTAAACCTTAACATAAACCAGTTGTGGCAGCACACACCTTAATGCCAGCACTCTTTGAGGCTGAGGCAAGAAAAGTCCTAAATTCAGGCCCAGTCTGGGCAATTTAGCCACTTTTTTTTTTTTTGGTACCAGGGATCAAACGAAGGACCTTGAGCTTGAAAAGCAGGCAGTGGAACCACTGAGCTAAATCCCTGGCCCAAATGTAATCCCAGCACTTGGGAGGCTGAGGCAGAATTGCTTCCAGTTTGAGGCCAGCCTGAACTATATAGCAAGACAGAACCTGTCTCAAAAAACAAACAAAAAAATAGAAAAAAGGGCTGAGGATGTATCTCTTTGTGAAGGCCAGGGGTTCACTCTTCTAGTACCACACAAGCACCTTATTATAGCCATAGTGTTATTAAATTAGGTACTTGATGACTTTTCATTTTTCTCACTGATTTTTTTTCCCTTTAACAAGGTAAAGGAGGCATTCCTAATTTGCTTTTGCTCCCTTTTTCTGAGTTCCAGCCTTTCCATTCTAAAATGCGCTGGATCCCCACCCAACTTAGGACTTTTATTGAGGGATTCATCCCTTATCTAGAAAGGATTCTAGAATATTTTGTGTCCACCTCCCATTTGTCCCCCTCCACATACATACATTCATCCCATCCCTCATCAAACTATTTGTGGGGAAAACTTTGACTCCTTACTAGATCAGTTATTTGACGCTGTGGCAACCTATACTTTTTTTTTCCCCTCTACTTTAACAGTTTGTAATGTTTGTTTAATGTGTCTTTTCCTACTAGATTGCAAGATCCAAGATCTTAGGAAATTTTTGCTTTGCCTATCATTGTATCCCTAGTAGAGCAGGCTAAAATAAATGTCTCAAAGCAGAACTTTTATTGTCTTGTAATTATTATATACATAAACTATATCATACAATTCAGTATTGGGAGCATTTAACTTTTCTCAATTCTTAAGTATTTGATTTTAAACACTTGCTGCTTTTCCCTAGGCTTTTAGACTAAAGTTGAGAAATAAAAAAGTATTGACAATCTGCACTTTATACTGAAATGTCTTCATGTAAACATTCCATTTAATGTAAACATTATAAAATACAAAATGACATAAGGTGATATTAAGATAGAAAAAATCCCAACTTTCCCATGTTCCAGTGTCAAAACTCTGAAGTTTTCTTAAAATACTGGCATTTAACAATTTTTAACAAGTTACAAGGTTTTACTTTTCTGTTGGTTTTATATAATGCTGAGAAACATTAAACAGACAGGCCCAGTGGCACTTGCCTATAATCCACACTACTTAGGAAGCTGAGGGAGGATGACCCCCACCTGGTCAAACTAATGAGATGCCTACTCAAATAGAAAGAAAAAACATTACTTTTAGAGAGGATTGGAACTTTAGGGTTTTTTTTGTTTTGATTTTAGTTGTTTTGTTTTTTTTGTTACCGGGGATCAAACTCTGAACCTTGCACTTGTGAGACAGGTGCCAGAACCACTCAGCTAAATCCCCAGCCCTTTTTTTTGAGACAGGGTCTCTCTGTATAGTTCAGGCTGACCTTGAACTCACTATGTAGGGCTGGGGATTTAGTTCAGTGGTTCCACCGCCTGCCTCGCAAGTGCAAGGACCAGAGTTCAATCCCCAGTACCAAAAAAAACACAACAAAACTCACCATGTAGCCCAGGCTGGCCTCAAATGGCAATCCTCCTGCCTCAGCCTACTAAGTGTTAGGATTACAGGCATGTGCCACCACACCTGACTGGAACTTTAGTTTTATAACAGAATAAAGATTGGGTTTCCAAAAGCACATTTTTTTTCACATTTATTGTTCCCCATTAATATGATCTCAAAGATAAATAGGTCCTACCTCTATTATCACCAAAACTTCATAGTTTTACCTTGCAAATAAAGTATATATATAATTAAACAATTGGTAAACATATAGACATTGAGCACAAATAATGCCCACAAAGTACTGCTGTGTAATGTATCTATCGTTAGGTTGATCAGGCCAGTTGTTATATTTGACAGCAAGAAAAATATTAGCTGATTTCTGTTTAGAGCTGTGATTAAACAAGGACTGGGTTCCTTTCTTTCAGCTCTGGGGACTAGAAATTCAGAACGCTTTTTATTTGTAGCAGGTGACTGGATAAGTTTCCAAGAACATGGTACTATAGCACCTTTAATCAGAAATTTGGCAAAACTCAAAATTATATCAGTCAGTAATAAACAACTAAGAAAGATGAGGCTAGAAGCAACTATCCACATACAAAAGGCTAAATTGGCCATTCTTCGAGATACTGCTTCTACATTTACTTGAACTATGTAGAGAGAGATGAAGAGGCTAATACTTACTAGTAGAAGACAGCATCCTACTTTTATCCAGTCTTTGATATGTGTTCTGTTCCTAAACACATACAATCCTGTTTGCACACCAGCCATGTGAATTGCCACATACCCCAAAGTAGAGATTATTCCTTCTCGGTTAGCATTTAATAAACCAACCCTTGTGTCACTACCATCTGTGCCATACAAAATCAACTGCTTCAGTGGGGTTAAGTTAAGGGTTAGCTGGTATAACACAGTAATGCTGATGGCCACGATCCAGGATTTATTTAAGGGGAAAACAAGCAAAAGCACTGTTGTTACCAGTTTCACAACAATTAAGGTAAAGAAAAAGTTCCAGTGTACTCCATACTCAGTTAAATGTTCTTGATAGCCTATGGATTTTATAGTAACTAATCGTCCTATACCTAGGACAATTAATGGCCAAACAGAGTACAGTGATTTTAAAAGATAATAAAATCCAGATCCCTCCATATATTTTCTCCTGACCTCTGGACAAACCATTGCAGTCCCAAAAATGAGGCCACCTACTCCAAAATCCATTGCTCCTGTCCCATAGAGCTCAGTTTTAGCAAGTCTTCTGGGAAAAAGTGGGAAGTCCACAGCCAAAATGGCAACAGCGACAAATACACTGTTAGATACACGGTAATAGGAGATGGTTGGATTGTATTCCGATTCTAGACTGATTTGCAAGAATTTTTCAAGGATTTTCTGGACAGGCGCTCTAGCATAGCAAGTCCTCCTTTGGTATATTTGATAGAACAGCCATGCCCCACAGATAATTACAATGAGAAGCTCAAGGAAGACAAATGAAGACAAAATGGTCAAAGCAGTCACAAGGGGAACTACTAGGACAACAAAGTCAACGAAGAATCGAGCTCTCCAGGTATGTGAAAAAGAACACAAGTGCTCTAAGGAAATGATCAGGAGTCCTCTGCACAGGATACAGAATGCAGGTAAACACAAGCCCTGCGTGATTTCCAGCACACTAGTTCCATTGAGATTACTGACAAAAGCTTCTTTCATCTGCTTTTGAGACATTTTTTCTTCCTGTGAAAATAAGAGTGAAGGAATGTATTTCCAGAAAACAACATTCTTATGAAAGTGGGATATACATACCTGACTTTGATTTTACTCTTATTTATAGGTTTCAGACCCTAGTGATTTCAAATCAAGGGGAGAACCTAGGATTTGTGATTCCCCTTCCCAGGACTGTTTGAAGCAACTGAACGGATGCATTTCGATATAGATAACTCATCTGAAGGGGATGAAATTATGAGTAGAAATTATGAGAAGGGTATGAAATTATGAGCTTTAGCTATTCTTAGGATGTGGCAGATTCATAAGGCAAATCTGGAATGAAAATTCTGAGAATGGCATCACGGACAGAAATTTTTATTATGAGCACAGTAATGTATGTGACCATATCATGAATACGGTCTAGGGAAAATGAGTACAGTAGATATTCCTAATGACTTTAAGTCAAACTGCAAGCTAGGAGTGGTGGCGCTCGCCTGTAATCCCAGCACTGGGGAGGCTGAGGCAGCAGGGGATCGCTGCCAGTTTGAGGCCAGCCTGGGTTACATAGCGAGTTGAGGGCCAGCCTGAAGTACATAGCAAGAACCTGTCTAAAACAACAACTCCAGGCGCAGATTCGGGGAGAAGCTCTAAATATGCTTTGGAGTTGAGGATTCCTCGATTTCTGTTCAGAGCCTCTCTGAACCTTCTGTCTCTGGTACAAAAGGTACCTCCTGAGCCCCAGGCTGCTGCTCCTCTTATTTACAGTCATATTCTTTTTTAAAGAATATAAAACATCTCTCTGCATGCTTTTTTTTTTTTTTGGTACCAGGGATCGAACTCAGGTCCTTGTGCTTGCAAGGTAGGCAGCAGAACCACTGAGCTAAATCCCCAGCCCTAAACATCTCTCTAATAAAACACATGCCAATGTCTGAAAAGTGGCACACTAGCAGAACACATTTATTGGTCAAACAAACTGAATAAATAAATGACTGTATGCATGCACTGGGCCCTGCAACAATATACCTCACCGTAACCGACATGAGTCGGCTGACCTTTTAAAGTCCTTTTCCTAGCAGTCGCCCGCCGTGGCCGGGGTCCCGCCGCACCCGGGAGCAGCGCTTCCGCCTCCCGAGCAGCGCTTCCGGTCTACGTGGGGCTGTCTGCTCTTCCGGGCCGGCAGATTCCTCGCGCCGCGACCCGGCTCCCGCGCCTGCCCGAGTCCCACCAGTTCCCTATACCTTCCCCATCAGGTCGTGGCCCTGGGCGGGTCCCTGAGAGGAGCCGAAAAGGTGGCCCTCGAGCCCCACGGCGAGGCCCTGTCAGGGTAACAGTCCAGAGCGCCCGCGCAGGGTCCAGTCACGGCGAACCCCCACCACCACCAAACTAGCTCACGACCCTCGGAGCTCTCGGGGCCCACCAAACCGTGCTTCCCGCGCTTCTCCCCCATAATACTGGAGGCCGCCGTAAGGCCTTCGTCTTACTCAGAGTTTCAACTCTTGTCTCAGGTGGAGCCAGCCGGACCGGGGCCCCTGCCCAGCCACGTGCGCCTCACAGCTTGTGCGCGCCCCGCCCCCGGGGAGGAGCCGGGCGGCCGGCGCCCGGCCTCTTAGTCTGAGCGTCTGCCAGAAGAGTGCGACTGGGTCCCGGCTCTCCCCAGCCCCCGCCTTTCTTCCCTCCTCGGAATCTTCCCGCTGCCTTGGCCGGCTAGCCTGCCCTGAAGTCGACCCGGCGGGGTCAGCGCGCAAGGCAGATCGGGGCGTGGGACCGGTGAGTGTCACCCCAGCCCAGATCCAAAGCCCTTCACGGCCCCAAAGGGGCAAGGGAGCCAGTTGGCCCCGCAGCTCTGAGGTAGAAGGGGGACCCCCCCCCCTTCCTCCCTAAATCGCTGTAGCCCTTTCCCTCTTCATTTTCCTTTTCGGCCCGCTCTCGTCCTAGGTGAAGGTAGCCCTATTCTTGCCCCTTGCCAAGAGCAAGGACCTTTCACGGTCACCCTCCACCTTTCCACTTTGCCAGCAGGGTGCGGCCCAAAATGGGAGAGCATCTCGGCTGCTCCTTTCCCTGCCCTATTGAGGGACCGAAGAGGAGGAGGAGGCTGGCCCTGGGAGGCATCAGTGAAGCCTCGCCCTTGCGGGGGTCGTGTCAACCTTCCCTCGAGGACATACTCTCCCCGTGCCAGGTGCTTCGGAGCGGCATCCTGCCCTGGGCACCGTGGGCATGTCGCCCAGACCAGGAGTAGTGGTTCCCGCCAGGAACCTAGGGCGGAGCCGGCTGGGCTCACAGGACCTGTACGCAGGTCTTCCACGCCTACCCTCCCAACCAAGAAAGAAATTGAAGCCGGGAGGAGGAAGAGGAGGCGGTGGTGATCAGGTTGCCACCTGCCTAGACTCAGTGTTGCACCTATTCATTACTCCCTTCTGCCCACTGTGGTCACACCCTTTTCAGAAATTCTTGGTAACCACGAACAGAGGGAGTAGGAACTGGAAGAACTGGAGAAAACCGCTCTACTCTGACTTGACTCCAGCTGGGAGCTGATACTGCATGGTAAAAACCAAATTTGCAAAGCTTTCACAGATACTAGCCCATTTGAGACAATTTAGCCCCCATGAGGTCTGGATGTTATTACTCCATTTGCAAATTAAGAAAAGTAATAAGGTTTAGAGAGCTCCTAAAGCTGTAATTCTAGCTGTATTCTAACTCCCCCATCCTGGGCTCCCCCAATGGACTTACCTCTCTCGGTGATGAGCTGCCAGTTGAGGGAGGTTTGTTCTCATTGAATCTCCAGAGATCTCTGTATGGCTGTCTCTTGGATGGGGTAGTGTCAGTGTCCAGAGTGAAGGTGTCTAATACATTCCAGATACGTTTTTCTGTCCAAATTGTCCTTTTCTAGTTTCCATGGAAGTCCCTGTCTCTAGCTTCTTTAAAAGATTAGATGTTTTCAGAGCCTTAAAAAGTCTCTTAAAAAAAAGTCTGTTAGGGTTAATCCATTTACAGGTGTCACTCATTCCTGTCCCTCCTTGCTGGGGAAAGTGTTGAGGCCTGGGAACTTCCAAGTCTGAAGGTCAACATCCTTCAAAGGCAGGTCCACCGTCTCACCTCCTTGAAGTTGACACTGGATCAGTCCACCTGCTTAGCACCCCTAGGTGGATTAGAAACCCTTCGTTGTAGTGCTAACCCAGTTCATTCTCAGTGAATATTCTTTGCACTGTATATGGTACTTTCAAAACATGGCCTCACTGGGCTGGGGATGTGGCTCAGTGGCACTGCGCCTGCCTGGCAAGCACAAGGTCCTGAGTTCAATCCCTAGTACTGGGAAAAAAAAAATGACCTCACTGACCTTCACAACTACTCTGAATTATATTTAATGATCTGTTTTCAAGGTGAGTATTGGAGGTAGGTGATAATGGCTTACCCAAGGCCACACACCCAGTGAATGGCTGAACCATGATTTCTCTCCCATACAACAGCTTTCTTACATCAGGAGTTGACTCCAGCCTCTTCTCCCACTCAGCTACTGACTATACTAAAACAGGATAGTTCCATCCAGTGAAAAAGATAGGGCATGAAAAAAAAAGATAGGGCATGAAGTTCTCAGTCTCCTCAATGTCTTTAACCTCCACAGCATACTGACTCAGAAGATTTGCAGCCTCACCTAACCCTAAAATTAGTAAAACTGGCCCTGAGGTTTTACTGCAAGGACAACTTAAAAAAGTAGCCCAGGGGGATCTCTGGAGGCTCTCATCAAAGTTTCCCCTGTTCCATAATTGTCAGGGAAAAGGACAGACTCTCACTCTTCGCCCAGGCCTGTCCTAGTTCTCCTTTTGGTTCTGCTTGGTGGGAGGAGTAGGAATGAGTCACTCAGGAGAAGTCCTCACCTGTGTGTGGCTCTTATCTTCTGTCTCATGCCACAGGCTCTAGGATAACTCACCTGAGACTCCTCCAGACCTGAGCACTTTGCTGGAGCTATGCCCATGGCCCCATGACCAAGAGGATAGCACTCCTTGGGCCTGCAACCCAGAACCCTGGCTGACCACATTAAAGCAGGATGCTCCAGCAGGTAAGATGTCAACATTATATGACCCAGTCCCTCAGGTGCCTGAAGCCTCTTCCCATCTTTCGTGTGCCTGAATGAAGTTTCTGCTGCTCTTACCTGGAAGGACAGGAAAGACCCCTTAAAGGTCTTCCTTCTGTTCTTCTTTTTGGTAGTCACTGCAGTGCTCTTGAGATCTAATTTGAATCTCTCTCGTTGTAGTTTTTAACTCTTTTCCTTGGGAGGGATAAGGTGAGATAGATAAAGGAATCCTTAGGTCACTTTGTTGACTTTACAGAGAGGGAATCTTGAGCAATGTCCCTTGCCAGGCTATATTGTTGAGGCACAGTGGAAGCTGAGGATATCCAAAAAGATGGTTCTTTGAAGCTGAGTCTTAAAGAATAAAAAGAAATTAGTCAAATGGAGAAGGACAATAAGCAGTCCAGGCAAAGAGATCAGCCTCTGCAAAAATATGGGAGAAAATGACTTACCTGAAATTACAGAAGGATTCTGATGAACGGATTATGGGGTGCATGAAACCTGCCTGTACCCCAGGCCTCTGCCTCTGAAAATTCCACTGTTGCCCCTGGCCTATAGGACTCCAAATCCTCCAAATATTGCTTGGCATTGACTGGGCTGAGGCACATACTCTGTAGTGTAGTGAAGTCCTGTGTCAATAGGACAGCCAGGTGTGGGGCTAGCCAGCCTCAAAGGACTCATGGTACACACTGCTGCTTGACCTTCCTACCATTTGGTTCAAGAAATAGGCCTGAAGACTAGAGAGAAACAGATGTTTGTATTTATTTTTAACCCTTTTTATTCCTAAAAGTAGTTGTTTACCATAACCATAGTATCAACTCCCCTGTGTTGAGCCCTTGTTATATAGTACACTCAGTGCTATATGTAATTTTGTTTTATTCTCACATTCCCATGAGAAATGTAGTGTTGTACACTAGATAGTGCTATTATGTCCCCATTCTAGGAGGTAAGGATTAGAGAGGCTAAATGACTTACTCAAGGTCACAGTCATTATCAGAAATTTGGAAAATAAGGATAAGCAAAAGGAACATTAAAATTATTCATAATCATACTCCCCAGAAATAACCAATACTTTAGAGAATGTCCTAATTTTTTCCCCTAAATATATATTTTGTTTTTTATTTTTTTTGGTACCAGGGATCGAACTCAGGACCTTGCACTTTTGAGGCAGGTGCCGGAACCACTGAGCTAAATCCCCAGCCCTCCCCTAAATATATATTTTAAGAACATGTAAGTTATATTTTTTGGTAACCTGCATCCATTGTACAGATGTATCATAATTTAAGCAGTCTACTACTTGGACACTGTAGTTTTCAATTCTCTTACAATTATAAATGGTTCTATATAGAGACATTACTTTGCATAAATCATCTTTGAGAAGCAGAATTGCTGGCTTAAGAGACATGCATAGTTTTAAAGCCCTGGCTATAAAACTAATAAGAGCCACTTCTACCAGTAGAAGAATAATAGCTAACTTCTTTTGTCATGTTCCAAATGTCTTTCTAAACCCCCAAGTGTGTGTGTGTGTGTGTGTGTGTGGTGCTGGGATTAAACCCAGGGCCTTAGCACTGAGCTACATCTCCAGCCCTTTTTACTGTATTTTGTTTTGAGGTGGGGTCTCACCAAGTTCCCAGGCTGGGCTCAAACTTGTAATTCTCCTAACTCAGCCTCCCAGAGTGCTGTGATTAGAGGTGTGTACCAGCACACCTTTTATGTCCTTATTATTATCTATGAGGTAGGTATAATCACCATTCCCATTTCACAGAGGAGAAAAATTTAAGGCACAAATAGTTTTTAAAACTTACGTAAGACTATACAACTAGTAAGTGGTGGTATCAGGATTCAAACCTAGGCAATTTAGCTTTCAAATCCAGGCTCTTGGTCATTATATTCAGCTTGGTTGGATCAGAGCTGATCATAAATTGTAGCTGGGTCAGTGAGTTTTTTCTTTTCACTAGAACAGAGGGATTTGCATGGGTTCATCTGTGCTCACTGTGGCAGTTATCTTACAGGGCAAGAGCCTGCCTCGTATATAATGATGGGTCCAAAGTTCAGAGAACTGGAAATATTTTTGGAAGGACCTCATTACTGGGCCTCTCAGGTAAAACTTACTACCTTAGTGTGTTTCCTCGAGGGGTTTGAAGTTTGAGGCCTCACCAGACTCCTTGGAAACACACATGTCATATCACAGCCTTCATGCTCCCACAGCAAGTTTTGGGCTGTGAGTAGTAGCACATATCTATAATCCTGGCCCTCTGGGAAGGTGAGGCAAAATAATTACAAGTTCAAGTCCAGCCCAGGCAATTTAGTGACTTAGTAAGACCCTGTTTCAGAATAAAAAGGGCCAGGGTTTTATGGCTTGTGTCTAGATGTCCTCACAAAGCCTCGTGTGGTCATCGGTGGGGTTTTTCAGAGGTGACTGGATCTAGAATGTGATGCTGGCAATAAATGTGTGTTGCTGGGATTGAGTCATGGTGCAATGCTAGGATTAAGGGGTCCC